TGGAATCATTTGGATCTTGTGGAAGAAGTTCCACCCGTGCTTCACATAGGTTTACCGCCAATTTCAAGAGTTCTCCACATCCTTACTCTCCTAGCTTATATGTTACAACCTTGAAAGTCCTTTTGATCCTAAAGGGTTAAGTCATTCAATGATGGCGGGAAATAGGAATCAAGCCTATAGAGCGAGTTTGCATAGCCAAGATGTTGGGTAACCTTCTCAATGTTTTTAATTTCTTATTTATTTTCCGGTTCCTTCGTGGAATCATGAGAAGCTAACTTGAAAGTGGATTTGAAACTAGTAGAGAGAACGTGGTTTGATTGGTTGGAACAAAAGGTGGAATGTGTTTCCTTTAGTTCTCTATGCTTAGCATATGTTATGTTTCAACCAACCTTGGACATCTTAGAACGTGCATACCTTTATTATTTTAGAAATATTGACATTCATTAGTGTTTGTTCCATCATAAAAGTCCACTCTAGAACGCTTGTAACTTTTCTCTTACTTCGATTTATTTTATTTTATTTATTTATTGCTTTGCCTTGATTTTTTTTCAAGAGTTATGGGTTAAACTCTTAGGACACCCTTACGAGAGCTTACTCGTCCTCTAGAGCAATCTAAGGGTTTAAAGTGCTTGATGCATACGCTAAATGTATTCGTGATTCCTACGAAAGTGAGTTAGTGTATATTCTTCCCCTTCTAGTTTTCTTTGTTTGTATAAAATGCATCACATTCCCTTGTGTTACTTTTGTTTTGCTCGAGGGAGAGCAAAAGTTAAACTTGGGGGAATTTGATAAGTGTCATTTATGTCGCTATTTTTAAGAGTTTTCTAGTTATTTTTTCATAGTTTTTATATCTTTTTACTTGGTTTTAATAACATTTTACTACATTTGTCATGATTGCGTGTGAAATGTCGTTATTGCTCAATTTTGGCTTTTCTTGCATATTTTAGTTGATTATGGCATTAGATTAAACTTTATTGGTTTATTCTTATGTTTAGGAACACTTGGATAAGTTCATTGCTCAAGATTGAAGAAATATAAAACATAAAAGAACAAGTAATGAAGAAATGTGCACTTGATTTTCAATGATCGAACTTCAAACGCCTATATCTTTTGATCTACAAAACATTTTGGGGCAATTCCAATTGGAGATGAAAGCTTATCTTGAGAGCTTTCCAAAGACAGGTCATATGCCCAATTCCGTTGTAAAACGTGGGAGATATGCTCATTTGAAGCTGAGCGGTTTGCCCAGTCCGATAGGAGCGGGCGCGCATCCTATGAGGAGCGCCCGCTCTAAACTTTCTGGAACGATTCTGCCATATTTTGCTGCAGCTAGGAGCGCCCGTGCACGAAATTGGAGCGCCCGCTCCTCTGCACGCTGCTCGACTTTTTGCGGAGCTTCCTAGGCAATTTAGTAAGGGGTATAAATAGATTTTTTGCTCATTTTAGGGGGAAAATTCATATTTTCAGTAGTTTTAGGTTAGTTTTAGGTTTTTAGAGAGAGAAACTCTCAAATTTTGGAGAGAGAAAGTGAGAGAAACAATGGTTTTCATGGATTTTGGATAATCAAAGGAGGAATTTGATGATTTGAAGATCTCCATTTTATATCAATGAGCATTTCTTACTCTCTTCTCTCTTTATGCTTTATTAATTGCTTTGTTAATCATGTTTGAGTAGATTTCCTTCTACTAGGTGTTGAGTGAAGCTTTGTTATGGTTAATTGAGTTATTTGAGATAAATTTGATGATAATTGTGTGATTAAATTGATTGAATTGATGATGGCATGTTGTTTGTTTTAGATTGGATTGATCTCCCAAGATAGCAAACTTAATTGCATGTTAGTTCTAGTTTGACAAGGGATTGTGAATTAGAATTTATATATTTGATTGCATTTTGGGTAAATTTCTTCTATGCACCTAGTCAATGAGGGATCTAGGCTAGGAATTTGAGAGATTGCTCTTGATGGTAATTAATTCCCATTTTAATTCTTTCTTTGCATGATTGATTATCAAATCGATTCCCATTAACTTGTTAATTGTTCAAAGTGGATCTTTGCCCCTAGTAGACTTTGTAATATCTTGATCTTTATATGTGTGTTAGTGTAGTTGTAGTGTCCACTATCCATAAACCGACTTCGGCGTAGCTTAAGCATTAGATCGAGAACAATCCAACATTACCGTTCCTTGTGGTTCGACTCCGAACTTACCACTAGACTTGTTTAGGGGTTAGTTTAGGATTATAATAAATTTTGTTTGGCCGTGAGGAGGTTAGTCAACGACATAATTTCCCCGCGCTCAGTAGCTCCCATTGTTTTTGTTTTAATTCATCACTTTGACCGTCACACATGTCAATGTACAACTTTAACTATTAATATATTTTATATTCCATATCATTAATAAAAAAATTTAAAAAGTTTTATCATGAAAATATGTATTGTGATCATTTTAATAACATTTTACATAATAAAAATTACATTTATACATATATATTTAATGAAACCACCCCTTCCTATTCCATTCAAAAAAAAAATGTAGTCAAAGTTAGTATGTAAATAATGTAAAAGTCAAAGTTATGCACTTAAAAAATTTAAAAAAAAAAAAAGTGTTCTGTTCACTTGATGCATAGTTTTTTTTTTTTTTTTTTTTTTTTTTTTTTTTTTTTTTTTTTTTTTTTAACAGCATAGTTTATCTTATCTGAAATTATTTATCTTATTAAAGCTTGTTAATTAATTATTTATCTGAAAAAGAGGGAGTAAGAAGTATTATTTTAATTATGTTGAAATTGGAAAGCTTTATTAACTCTCACTAGAACTTATATTTCCTAGATTAATCTTACTTATTTTTGCTATAATAAGTGCAATTCTACCGGTTTTATTTCTTCTATAACTTATTTTAATTTTGTAAGAGCGCGACGAGTCAAAAAGATACCTTCCCATCATCATAGCCACCACCATCATAGCAACCATCGTCATCACAGTCACCTCAACCACCCGAAACCCTTCCCACCGACGATCTTTTCGTCGTCCTCTTCTTCTTCCTCGTTGTCTCCCTTTTCTTCTTCAGTCCTTGACAACAATGGCCTCAAGCCCTCAACGCCACTTCACAACGAAACAAAACGATACCTTAGCAACAAAGAGAGTCAAGTAAGGCCATATCAGCACCTTAGGGGAAGGGTCTCCTTCGCAGTAGCAATTTTAACCACCATAGGTGGTGGTGGGGTATTGTACAGTTGAGGTCGGGTGAGGAAGAAGGTGGTTCGCAGTGATGAAATAAGGGAGAATGGAGGAAGAAGGAGATGAAATATAATTACTAAATTATCCCCAAATAAATTAGTAAAAAAGACATATATAACCCCCTGATTGACAAAGTTTGTTTCTTAAACTTATTAACTTGTAATTTCTCCGATGTGTCGTGATTATATACTACCTCCGTTTTTTTTTATGTGCAGTTTTGGCACAAGTTGCGGTTCACGAGGCAAAAGATTGAAGGGCAAAGATTAAGAAAGTATAATGGTGATTAATATATTATAGGAGTATGTAATTAAGGTGGAGAGAGAATGTTTGGATAATTAATTAAACCACCCATTGCCACCACCAAGACCAGCCACCACCACTACCGCCTTCACCAACACCACCACCGGCTTCACCACCACCACAACCACCCCCACGAAACCACCACCACAACCAACCCCACGAAACCACCACCACAACCAACCCCACGAAATCACCACCACAACCAACCCCACGAAACCACCACCACCCTCACGTCTTTCCCTCTTTTTTCCGACAACCCCTCTCTAACCAAAAAACCCAGAAATCTAACATTCCCCTCCACCACCAGCCCTAACCACCTCCAACCCAGACCACCCCACCACCCAGACCCACCCCCAGACCACCCCACCACCCAAACCCACCCCCAGACCACCCCACCACCTCTAACCCATACTACTCCACCACCTAGACCCACCTCTAACCCAAACTACCCCACCACCCACGCCACCAAGACCCACCTCTAACCCAGACCACCCCACCACCCACGCCACCAAGACCCAACCCTAACTCAGACCACCCCACCACCCATGTACCCAGACCCACCCACCACCGTAGAAAACCCCTTAATCCTAACCCACCCACCACCCCTTAATCTTAACCCACCCCCTTAACAAAACCCAGAAAATCAAAATCAAAACCTAGAAATACAAAATCAAAACCTAGAAAATCAAAACTCAGGAAATTAAAATCAAAATCCAGAAAATCGAAATCAAAACCTAGAAATTCGAAACTTAGAAAATCGAAAAAAACCCAGAAAATTCGAACATAAATCACCCAAAAAAAAAGGAAAAAAAAAACGAAATTCGATAATCAAGTTCCAAGCCCAAAGCAGATCCGGTTGAAAATTCGAAGAGAGAGACAACATTGTTCGTCGGTGGTGGGAGCTAAGGGCTGTGGTCAGAGGGAGCAGAAAGCCAGTGAGATGGAAGGTGGTTGTGAAGGAGGAGAGAGAATGGAAGTGGGAGGGGCGGTGGTCGTGACTCTTGAGGGAGGGTGAAAGAGATGAAGAGGGTGAAGGTGAAAGAGATGAAGAGCAGAGATGAAGAGGGTAAATGGGTGGTGGGTAGACTAGGAGATGAGTAAATGGGTGGGTAAAATTAGGTTAATGATTTTAGATTAGACAAAAAAGTTATTGTGATTAAAATAAGATACGGGTAACATTAAGAAAACCTGAATTTTTAAGTAAGGGTAAATTTGTAATTTTCAGGGTTTTTGTTTACTAAAAATAGAAAGAAAATAGAAAGTTACACATAATTGTAAGCGGACTAAAATGACAAAAGTTGCACATAAAAAAAAATGGAGGTAGTATATACTTTCTAAATTTATTTTTGTATTTAATTTTATTATTTTATCCACTAATGTTTTATGAATTGTATTGATTTTCTTTGCTAAAGTTTACTCAAATCTTCATTTTTTCTTACTTCAACGTTTTAACCACTCCTTTAAAAGTTTCTTAAATTTTGTTAGTGATTCACTTTTAAAACTTCCATGATTTTTCTTGTACGGTTCATTATAGCCGACACCAAATTATTTTGGGACCAAAGTTTTGTCATTGAAAATTAGAGGAAATTAAGATCCAGTGTACTCCTGTCTCCTGCCTCGCTGCTCCCCTCCCACACTCTCTCACCTCCATTGAAGCGCACTCTGAATTCTCCATTGAAGCGCTTGCGAGCTTTCTCCTCCACTGAAGCAGCTTTCCAGCTTCTGAGGTATTTCTTTGGTTTATTGATACTTGAAGAACTTAAACCTAAATTTTTTACCCTAATTTGATAATTGAATCAACTTTGAATGCTAATGTGTTGCAAGCTTTGGTTTATATTACTCTTTAATGTTAGGAAGAAACCACCTGATTGAGAAAATGCAATTTTGTGCAGGGAAATTGGTGTATAATGATTCATTAATCTGGATAAATTAAACCCATTTGGTGGTTGAACTTGGGAAATTAATGCCCAATGTGTTAATGAGGATTGCCCTGGTTTAATTAAGAAATTTTTAAGCATCAAATGATGAAATTTGTGGCGAAATTTCGATGCTTTACGGTGTTGAAGTCTCGGTTTTCAACTGTTAGATATAGCTCCGAGGTCTTTGTCAGCAGTAAGATACTTGTAATTACTAGTTAAATTCAGATTGTTAATGTTATATTGTGTTTTGTTTAATTGGTTGTATATTGGCGAAACGATGCAGGGCTCTCATTTTACACAAAACATGATGAATTTCGGAACATGTTTTTGCAATTCGGCAAGGTTAAAGAAGGTAGATTGTAGTGGTCACATATTTTCTTCTTTTGGATTGTTGTTTGAGTCATTGCTCTACTATATGTGAAAGTTTTAGCCATTGAATTGTGGTTTTCTCAGCTGTGATGATAAATGTGATTCAATTGTGTTGTTTACAGCTAAGTTGATTATGGATAACAGAACTGGAAGGACTAAGGGGTTTGGTTTCGTTACATTTGAGACAGAAGATGAGGCGCATAAAGCTATTAAGGGTTTGAATGGCAGGGTAATTTTCTACTTCATTCTCATTATTTCACCATTTTACTTGCTCTTAATTTGTTTGTTTACATTTTGAATTTGGAAAAACTTGTCCTGAAGTTGTGGGTTTGCGTTATTTGGGATTGTAAATTTGTAATACGGGCTTTGCCAGAAATTGCAAATTGTAACAGCTCCATTGTGTCTACATTGGGTTTTGGATAGGGATAAGTGATGAGCAATTCAAAATAAGTTCACTTTTTTGAAATTTTGTGCTTTTAAAATTCGCATGTTACAAGCCACTTTTAATTCTGGTCTAAAATTGGTAATTTGGACGTATTGGCAACATGGTATGTTTAATATTGAAACATAAAAGAGTACATTTTTGTGCTTCATAGATGAAGATTGAAGTAATTGAAATTCTAATACATTTAGTGCCTATATATCAGATTTCGATGTTTTCTTCCCTTACTCTAATGAGGGGTCTCCTCCTTTTCTTTTAACTTGCAACACTTTGACTAATCTATTTACATACTCCACTTTGACCGGCTTTATTGATTTATAATTAAGGAAAATGTAGTCATATGGGATCTCGTTGGATTCGTTTTGATTTAACTTTCATAATGTCAAGTTATTTCAACTTCTACTTATTGATTATATATAGTTGTGTTTAAAATGTATTGACAGTCGTGAAATTAGAAGTGTTGCAAGTAAAAAAAAAAAAAACAAACAAACAAAAGAAGTACCTTACTGTTTAAATGGAAGTGGAGGGATTCCTACAGAAGGGCCCTTAAGTAGGTTCTGGTTTTCACAATTTATGTAGAGTGTACATCAGTACATAAGCTATACGTGCCATGGGTGGGCAGTGGAGGAGTTTTCCTGTATTGTATTGATGCATGTACCAAAGGTCTAGGGTTGAGAAAAAAAGGTTGGAAACGGAGAAAATAAGTTAGCTTTAGAGAGATTTAGGTTGAACGCAAGTTACGCAATTTCTCATTGCAAATTATACCCTAGACTTTTTCTTGCTATTGGACACTTTGTATAACTGGCTTCTACGGGACTTTGAGATGGAGAAATCTGGAATTGAACTTTGAGGGAGGAGAGTGTTTTCTATTTGGAAGACTGCCTGATGGAGATTTGATAAAGCGTTCTTTAATTTCATTTGAGATAGATAGTGTTTATTTGGAGTTCTCATTATACATTGAATTAGTCAAAGGTATATGGAAAGACATGGTTTTCACAGGACTGAGGTGTTTGCTTGTTTAACAATTATGTAAAAAATGTGAATTCAAATACAAAGATCAAATTGCCTAAATTGGTGTAAGAAAATATAATGATGTGCTATATGTGAAGCTTACCTTGCAGGAAGATCGTAGTCATCTATGGTTTCATTACCAATTTCTCATGGAAGGTTTGATGGATACATACTTGCAAATTTTACTTTCAGTAACTTAGTTATGATGACTAGTTACTTTAGCAGCTATTATCATACATATTTGTAAGGACGTAAGGGAAACCACACCAAACAATGCAATTTTTATTGGCAAAGAATATGTTCAAAAGTTTTAAGTACTCGCTCCTGTGATCCTCGTCTTGTTGATTCTCTTGTTTCTTCTTTCCTGAATTGACCAAGAGGCAAAGTTAACTTGGTTGCCTCATGAGCTGTTACTTTTCTTTCAATGCAGATAGTTCAAGGACGACTGATTTTTGTGGAATCTGCCACAGGCACGAAGACTGATGGAATTGATGCTGGATCCAATCGCTGAAAACTCCATGTTTAAAAGTCTAATGTGGACATGCATGTTGTCTTATGAACCATCCAATCTATGGTGAAATATGATAGGCATTCCTGATTTCCTGTAAAGAATTGCAACTACATATACAAAATTCAGTTTTGAGCTTCTGCTGCTTTTAGGTCAATATGTTGCAATAAACTTAAAATTATAAATGCTACGAGTACAATTTTTGTCAAAATACTATATCTTTAAAAGCTCCTCTAATGCACTACTTTGTCAAACAACATTTTTTGCCTTTTCTACAGGGTACGAGCTAGTTGAAAGTAGACACAATACAAGGGGCCTTGACAAAATTGTTTCTTGATTATCATGCTTGCAACCATAAATCGAGTTCCAAAGCTGTAGAAGTATGTTGCTGGGTTATGTTAGCAATTTTCCATTCAAAAGTTACATGGGGCGGCATTTCCCGAGTCAATCCATCAAGTCTCATGACTTAACGATTAACAACATTTTGGGCAGTCGAGTGGCATTTACAATAGACAAAATTGGCCTATATGACACCAATTATAGGTCATATGTAGGAAAGCATGACCTTAAACATGTGTACTCAATAACACCATGTTAGTTGATGACATCGTGACACATTGCAGCTAGTTTTTTTTGTTTGTTTGTTTGTTTTTTTTTTCTTTCTCGTGTCGTGTGTGTGTTTAGAGAGCCTGAAAGACGGGTAATGAGAATTGATCCCAGGATCCCTTGGAATCGAGTGGGAAGATCTTACCACCCAAGCATGAGCTTTTGCTTTAGCTGCTTTCAAAAAAAAAAAAAAGGTAATACTTCAGCTAGAATTGTTCCAAAATCATTGCATGTTAATTAACAAAATTTTCATAATAATCTGGTTACATTAGGTACAAGTTGCTGTTTAACTTGATGGAGTACAACTCTCCACCTATGGCTATATATATATATCTGTTGATCTGTTCCATGAGTCATTTTTAGTTGATCCATTATTTGGTGATTTTTTTTTCTTCTTTTTCTCGAGATACAGTAATCGTATTGGTGTAACTAATTCTACATAAAAAAAATCTCTCTAACTTATATTTCATTACCAAAAGCAAAAGCTCATAGCACTAAAATACAAGGTTCAATAATACTACACCCCAAAAATGAGGGACTAATTATACTAGAGTACCTACTAGTTTTAAAACAAACCTAATCGAGTATCTGCAACCCAAAATTTTACGGTTAAAAATGACCAAACAAGAAGAGCTCTAAGGGGAGGCAGAAGGGACTGCACATAGTTGGCCTACGAAGCAGGAACCAATCGGAAGAAATCAAGCCCTCATCTCCTTGTCCTCATGTCAAGCAATGCTGTATTGCTGATAGTTTAGCCGATCACCAAACATTTCTGAACATTGCAACGGTTGTGTTCAGCAATTCATCCAAGGATATCCATGCATCCTATTGATTATATATACCAAAAAATACGAGGTCAACCATATCATCGACCACAAAGAATAAAGAAGTTCCCCCACTATACCACCGTATAATTGGAGAATAGAGTAATCAACTTTTCTAATGTCTCAGGATAAAATTTCCGAGCAAATAGATAGCAAGGCCTCTTCTGTCCATTCCACAAGCATGGTGTTATTGTCACTGGATTCTGTAACACAAAAAAACTTTATATATCAAGTGGTTCAAGACTACGATACATTGTCAGCCAAAAAACTACCATGCATGTTCAAGTCTTCTCAAGAATTTAATGGTAGATTAAAAATAATTTATACCTTCTCATCACTCGTCAGATGCACACTCTGATCAAGAAACTGCGTCATGCCAAAAGAAAGTTAGCAAGCTACTCATTATCAATGACTGCAAAAACAAGTCAAACTGTACGGAAATCATACTGTCATATTTCTTAGAAGTTCATAAGTGATGTCTTCGGCTCTAAAGGACCTGGGATGCCACTTTCTCTCAGACCAATCAACATACGTCACTGACCAATTAGCTATGCTTCCAGGATCAGTCATCTGAACATATTTAAAGACAAAAAATGAGGAACATACAAACTAGATAATCTACAAGACAATGGAAAATTTGTATTAAGTAGACTACTGACATGGAAGAAAGTTGGCAAATAGTGCTCATCAGCATAGCAGTTCTTCCCGTGCTCCATTCCTGGCTGTGGAAGAAAAAAAAAAAACCAACTTCAACATAAAAATCTGAAATAGGTTCCAAAATTTTAACAATCTAGCAGCAGAGAAAGTCTAAAAAACTTTACTAGTTGTGACAATGTCATCTCCAAAGTCTCATCATCAAGTTATTGGCACATAGGTGAATTTAAAAATGACAATAATTCATTCTTCAGTAACAATCATATGTATTGCACAGAAAATGGACAGATTACAGGAGAGGATCGGTCAATCGGAAGACTCAAAGTTCAATCCACTTCAGGATCACTTTCCAAACTTTGCTTAATCCCACCAGTATGCGCAAGCTTTGGAATACTGGAACCTCACATAGTAAAGGATTTTGTACTCAAACAACTTAGAGTTAGCTAGCATGTCACTCATGAGTAAACTTAATTTCAAAGGGCAACACACAACCTTGTTACTCACAATTCTGAATGGAGAGAGCGAGTAAAATATAAACAACCCTGTTACTCGGACTCAGGTATTGTGAGCAGACACTGGTACAAGTCTTACGTGTCATACTCTAACTAAAATGAGGTGTCAAAAGATCATACCCAAGTCTAATTGTTAAGGAGGGTACTTGAGGTAAAATGAAAAGTCCTAGAAACAAAGGCCCAACCTTTTCAAAGTGTTGGTTCCTGTTGACCCTTATTCCAAGATGCAACAGTTGGCTGCAACTTCAAATGAAGTGCAGGCAGGATAAAGTTATGTACATCAGAAGAAAACTATGTAACCTTCAAGCGTATCAAGCCAAATGCATATGAAGGGATGCAATAGCAATTCAAAGAACAATACTCTAAATAATAGAAATCATCATTGCAAGACATTGTCCCCGTAAGAAGAAAGCAGGAATCTTACATAGAATCAAAACAAAAACAAAAAATTGTAAAGTTTACCCTGCAATATAGCTTGAATTTTCTGTAGTATAGGCTGTCAGCCATGACAATTAGGGCATGTTGGCGTTTCATGGTGAACCACTGAAAAAGAAATTTAAAAATTATAAGTTAAATCTCTCAATCACAGGGAACGGTAACATGTCAGACAGAATTAAAAGTTGCAAAACGGCTCTCTCTCTCTTTCTCTCTCTCTCTCACACACACACACAATGACCAGCAGATTCAGATATAAAGGTGCAAACAGAGAGAAAGGGAGAGCCGTAAGGGAAAAAAAACTAGTTTGTCTTCGAGGATTGAGTAACTTCTATAAGCATTCCCTAAATACATCAACTCATGGCAAACCTTCTCAAATCTCATTAAAAAAAAAAAAAAACACTGAAATCAAGGATGATTAAACTGTCCCTAATCAGGAAAAGTGAAGTTGGCAGAAGCCGCAACATGACAAATTGACAAGACAAGGAGGCCTGAAAACAAGTTTTCTACAACAAAATTTATCACCTTGAAGACCACAACCTTTCTTCTCTAATTTCTATATTCTAACATGCATGACTTTACCAGTACTCTCAAGATAGGCAATGGTTGACTATGATTATACTATTATAGAACAGAATACATGCTTCTTTAGAGGACCTACACAGCACATCAGAAGGAAAGCTCAGAAATACACAAAAAGGTTCAAATTAGTTTTCCTATCAGGATAATTTCAAATTTCAGTATTTTACACACTAATTTAATGCAAGTGCACAGTGCAGCAAACAAAGAAATAAAAGCCTTCCAAAAGAATTGCAAGTGGGATAAATAGAAAAGGAAACTAAATTCTCTTCAACAAGTTTACACATTGAGTTACAAACGAGAACTTTGGTTAAAGAACCTAAAAAATAAGAATCCTTATTTAAACAAGGGGATAAAGGATACAAATGAGAGAGAACTAGAAATTACACACAGAAATCCTTCAATCTTTTTACTATTTTTGGTTGGAAAAGACGTATATAAGTTATCACACATTCAAACCCAATCTGACTAAATTCTGACAAGCATGGTGGCATAATTCTTAACAAAGGGAGATCAACTATGAAACATATGGCAGTCCAATAGTCACATAAGCTAGATCTGTGTTAATTCATACCTGTGAACCCTTCCGGAAGTCATCCTTTTCAATCTCGGGCAACATGTGCTCAGAATATCTTCCAGTACCATGTGGTCCAAGATCAAGAAAACTGAAAAGAGAAAATCAGGGCTGATTAGCTTTGTCTCAAAAAAATAAGGGTACAAAAATATCAGAAAAAGAAGTGTAAAATCAAGATCAATAAACATATATTGAGGTTCATTTTCAAGGCCATATACAGACAATGGATTCATCAAGCCAACTTGAAACAAAAAAAAAAAAAAAAAGAGCAGTAAAATATGTTTGATTGAATAGACAAACAAGCAGTATCAGCTCTAAACAATATAATTGTACTACAGAAATATGAAGTGTTCTAGTGACAAACAATGATTAATGAAAAGCAGATATGTTAGATTCAATTGATTTTAATGCTGAATTTTAGAAATAACACTCATTATTCAACACCTATGTTACTTGAACTCCTTTAACCTCAAGTACCCATGAGTTGGATGCTTGACACTTCATTTCAATTTTAACCATGCAAAATCTTCAGAGGATGGATAAGTTGACACCTAAAGATATAGTTGTCATACACTAGCAGCCAGGTCTGAGTTTCATAGTTTGATATATGGAAGTTATACAACATCCAATTCCCATAGTTATACTAGAATTTAGAAACCATGTGGTGTTTGAGAACAATTAAGGTAATAAGTCGCAATATTATTGTTGCAGAATTAGCTTCTTACCAGTCAAGAAAGCTGACATTTGTGAACATGAGATAGTTGTAGATATAATCAAAATTATGAAGCGGTATACAGCTGCAAAGAGCAAAAAAATACAATGTTATCATGATTGCCATTTGATATTAAGCTTATCTTCCAAAGTCCAAACAATAAGTGCCAGGGTACAGCAAAAGCAATTAATCAAAAGTACCTACCTGTCTGACAGTAATACAAAGTGCTGATTATCAGGATCTTTAAGAGCATGAGCAAGTAGTCTCCTTTCTGCATCAACCATTGAGATTTTACCCCACACTACCTGTGAAAATTTTGA